GGCACTACAGCCCATTTAGGGCCTTGGCCTGCTCCATCACATCCTTCCATTCGGATCGATTAATGGCTTTCCACCTCCATGTGTGAAAGAAAGAGCATATAAAGCCTTTATCCGTCCGATTTTAGATTATGCATCTTCAGTCTGGGACCCATTTACCCAGAAGAGCATTGACAGGTTGGAGGCGGTACAGCGACGAGCAGCACGCTTTGTCCTAAACCGCTACAGGAATACCTCTAGTGTTGGAAGCATGCTAGAAACACTAGGCTGGTCACCATTGGAGAAACGACTACGACAATCCAGGCTCTCGATGATGTACAAGATAAATAATGGGCTGGTCCACTGTTCCAGTATTAAACAGAAACTCGTCCCTCTCCCCCATAGACAGCGACGAGGCCATGACAGGCAATTCAGGCTCCTACCAGCAAGAAGCCAGTATGGGAGCTGCTCATTCCTGCCCAAGACAATCAGGGACTGGAACAATCTTTCAAAAGGAACGGTTGAGGCGACAACACTAGACACATTTGTGTCTATTAAAGCCTTCAAATCCCTAGAGCATGATTTCCTCATCAACACCAGTAACAGAAACATTGCAAATCCCATCTACATGCATAGGAGCCAAAATGATCAATAAATTGATCGTGGGCCCTTAAGATATAGAAGAAAAAGAAGAACCCTACATCGTCGATACATCTCAGTCTTGGTCAACTGGCAAACCGTCTGCCCTTAAGTTTCTGCCTGTACATCACTTTTGCTGCTCTACAATCCGGCATCCTTGCAATATGTCCTATCCAGTGCAGTCTGTCTTTTTTATTATTGCAACTATGGTTGGGTCTTCGTACAAATGATATAGCTCCTGGTTTGTATGGATTCTCCTAACATCATTGTCTATCACTGAGCCATATATTGTCCTGGGAAACTCAGATGATTGTGTTATTACTGTTGGAAGAACAGGGTTGATGAAAATGGTGTAACAATATAGGAAAGTGCAGTGTGTGACTCGGTTTTCTTTTTCACGACGATTGGTCTTTGACTCATGAGGAGTCAAAGAGAAAAACTAAAGACACTTCTCCTTATTTTGGCATTGGTTTTTATTGTCAAAATGCTTACGCAGTAAGGTATTGTGCTTTCAATTATTTGCAATGTTATTAGTCTACTGATTGACAATAATCAAGGATTCATCACAAAGATTTGAATGAATGCATGCTAAATTTACAAACCTCAGTGTCTCGGTCGCTAAATACATTTTATTTTAAACGCTATCTATAATGATTCAATTAATTAGCTTTCTCAGATACATCACTTAAAGCTGTTGACTTAATCGATGCCAAGTCCACACAAATGATATGACGAATGAAGAAAAGGCACTAGGTTGAAAAGCAAAGGGCAAAAGAATGCAATAGTTACAACTTTAATAAAGCTCTTAACAGTAACCTACAGTAGGTCTATTTACTTTATCACTAAATGAAGCTTTTAAGATTAAAATTTAACTTGTAATTAAAAAAAAAAATTTGAAAAATTTCATGTAACACTGTGTGTAACACTACTCCTCTAGTCCCACTTATAACTAATATGTAACCAGTGTTACAGTTGGGGCTCGATTACGGTCCAGTACGTCTTAATTAATATGATGAACTGCTATGAAAGCACAAGATAAATCCAAAGGTTTTCAATTACCATATAACTTTTATTTATGCTTGCATGTAGATTCACAATTTAAAATAAGATATCCAATAGAATAAAACAATCGTCATGATCTCACATACTTCATAATCCAAATAGATGAACGATATTTTCTCCGATTCAATATGATGTAACTTAAAACAATTCTATTTTCGATGCTAGTGCACGTCTTACAGGCTAACATTTTAAACTAAAGAGTTGGCACACTAATTTTAGAGGTACAAAAAGCTTTATGAGGCCATCCATAAATGATGTATTAATGTAGGGGGAGTGGGGAGCTAAAAATGTAAGGCTAGGATGTCTTCATGTGACAACTGGTCATTTGTGATGTGGAGGGATAAAAAGAATGTCCAAAATATGGTGCCATTACATATGGATGGCTCATAATAAAAGAACAGAATCACAAAATATAAAAAGAAACTAGAAGTTTATAGCTGTATTTGTATGCATGAACTGCATGTCCTCATGGCAAATGTCAAAGTGTCCTTTAGGTGCTGTGGTTTCTTTGTATATTACAATACAGAGCCTAATTTATTTTTTATTTCTAATATATAGAGATCTCCTACAGGGCCTATTCTAATACAGTATTTAGAAATTTCCTATAGGGCCTAGGTCTTTATATGGGGGCTGAGGGAATTTGAAGAGGAAAAAAAGGGAAATTTAATTTTAATTTTTCCCCCATCTATGTTGAAGGCTTTCAGTTACTTAACACAATTATTGATCATGCCTGTTTATGTACTGTGCTATAAATTAGATTTCATTAATTTAAAAAATCAGTAATTTTTCTTATCCATTGCTTTGAAACCAGTGTGCCGGGAAATAATGTTATGAACGTATGTCACCACTACAAAATGTCAACGCTGCAAAAACTCCACCAAAGACGAAAAAAAAAGCATCTTGCTTTCATCAATATTAACCTTTTTACAAATTTATTAGCTAATTGCTCTGCAGAAAAAGCTATCTCCTAAATGTTAGTAAATCTAGATAGTTTTTAGAGAATCTTGTATGTTATTATAAGTGTTGTCAAATTTTACCAAACTAAGAATGTGCAAGAGTCTTAAATGAGCTATCATAACTCCCCCACCCCCTTTATATGTCTATTGTTGTATTCCTTTTTGTAATGTCATCAGTTTTTACACAACACCAATTAACCAGGCTGTTGGGCTTGATATGATGCAACCAACTCTTCTAAAGTTTTTTTGTTTGGCCATATCCTGGTCATTTACTCACACTAGGGTGATACATCGCATGTTTCTCTTTTTTTTGTCTCCTTTTTAGTAAACTACACTGGCTTAGATTGCCAAGATTATTATTTGGAGAGAGAGAAGGGGGGGGGTTATATGTACATAATTATGTTTTTCCATCTTAAAATATTTTTAAATTAAGTAATTAAGGTATATTTCATAAAGAAAAACTATTAAATCTTTTAACTTCATTGTTTTTGTTTTGAAATATTTCATAATATACATATAAAAAAGAACTTTATCTTATCTTTAAATGATCTCCCATAATGAGAAAGAAGCCAACAAAAAGGGAATGTGATTTGTTATATTTAAAAAAGATTAGGCGCTCAAACTAACAGAGCCAAAGAAGTCTTTACATTTTACTATTGGAGCAAACTGTTGCTTAAAATATAACTTTCTCAGGATAATCTTGCCTTGTCTTGTTAAGGGATAGGATTGTACTTGATTCTGTCTACCATACTGATTCAAAAATAACTTTCACATAAATTTTGAATTATTGTAAATCCGGAATCCATCAAAATTGCATTCAGTAAAGGCTTGTAAATATAAGTTGTGTCTAAGCTGTGTACCAAATTCATCATGTTGGCTCAGCGGCTGGGACCTGGGGCTTGTAACGACATGCAGGGTCTTTGGTGAATAAATGCGTGTTATTTCATCACATTTAATTTTGAAGAGTGAATTCACAATTCAGCTCTAATATTTGTTTACAGTACATGCTGTTTCAAAGTTGTAAGTATTATATGTAAAATATTATATCAGGTGTCATGTGCACTTTTGCTCTCCCGATCCACCTCTATGTACAGCTCACTGAATATTTTCACAACAGATATATAAGCTATAAATGCATTTTCGGTAAAAAAAAAAAAAAAAAGAATACAGACACCTGCTTTAGTGCATTGATGTTTCAAAGTTTTAAGTATTATATTTAAAATATTATATCAGGGTTCATGTGCACTTTTGCTCTCCCGATCCACCTCTATGTACAGCTCACTGAATATTTTCAAAAAAGATATATAAGCTATAAATGCATTTTCGGTAAAAAAAAAAAAAAAAAGATTACAGACACCTGCTTTAGTGCATTGGCTTTAAAAAATATATATGGGCAGTGTGAACATCCCATCAGACTCTACCCACACATGGGATGTTAAATAAAATGTTTCAATAATCAAATCTAACCAAACTATTATTTTCCAACTAATTGAGTGTTTACTTCCAATGACAGTAAATAGCAACTTTGAGTTTGCTAAACAATTATTTTTATTTGTGTGTGTGTGGGGGGGGGTGTGGCTGAAGAGTTGAGGGAGAAAAAAAAGGGGGTGGGGGGCCAGCCTGGCCTTCATGGGTATTGTTAAGGAAGAGGGCTTGAGGGTAGGGGGAGATCAGTCTGGAATATTTACTGAATGATGGCATTTGGTTTCAGAGACTGATTAGCCAAATATCAACATTAAATATTTGGTACCCTGGAGACAATGTCCACCAGCTGTAGCCCGAGTTGTGGCATTAGCATGTCAAGAGCATTTCAGTGCCAATAAGCTGAAATATACATTTACGTTTTTTTTTAACATTGAGCTACTTTCATTAGTGTCATAAAGGTGTTGTTTTTTTTAACAAAAAAGGGTTCACCTAATAAATTTTTTAAATTACATATTGGTCAATGGTTTAATGATTCTCAAACTTATTCAGTTCAATTAAATTAAAATTTTGAATTAGTGTTTCGTTTAAAAAAAAAAAACTGTTTCCTCTTCATAATCTGTGCTTTTGTTTTTGTTTGTTTCATGGCACACATGATTTTTTCCTCTCTCCACAGCTCTTATCCACCCACTTGATCTTCCAAAAAAATACTTTTTCTCCTTTAATTATCAGGCAGGTAACCATCAAGTACTCAAAACAGTTACTCACTCAAAACCCGAGCACACAAATCCACAACATCACAATTCCACCTTTCCCCCTTTGTGCTGATGTAAGGGAATTCCCCAACCACCCCCCCCCCCCCTCTTCATCCCCCTTTCCTTATCCCTGCTCACTCACTACCTGTTCAGGAGCATGCTGCTAACACAGTGTGCTCTCATAGACTTTCTCTTTGCTTTATTCTCTGTGTGAGCACATGGGGTCATAGTAAACCGTTTCTAATTTTTGTTTTATGCAAATAGTAGATTTTTCCTGCACTTCTTTTTTTCTAGGGATTCTTTAAAGAGTTAAAATACTGGTTTTTGATTTCTTAAAATTGAATAAATCTGTGGAAGAAGAGGAAACTATGTCATATATATAATTAAAGAGTTAGTTTTGTGCAAATAAGGAACTCATGTCAGCGACAGATTATAGAAACTCATGTCAGAGACAACCTATTTAAAGTACTTTCTGTGTTGTTTTGATGAAGATCAAGTAAGTGCATTTAGTTGATACTGTGGTGAATGTTAAGCCAATCAGCATGAAAGTTTACTGTGGAGAAGCACACTTCACATTTCCTTACCCACCACGCCAGATCAGTGTCCATATTTTAGTCACATAAATAGTAATGCCCCAGTTAATCCAATCACATTTAGAAGAAAAATTAATTTATATCATTGCTTTGAGTTTATTCAGTTTTTTTGGGATTATAATTAATTCCAACAGTTATTACATTTTATTCAGTTGCATTTTTTTAAAAAAAAGAACCAAATACAGCCTTAATGTCATACGTTTAACCCATACCCGCCTACTACCGCTTCAACCCCGTAACGGCCAAACGCGGCTTCAAGATATACTGCTCAGGCGTTGCTGTACTGCAACGGAACTACCGCCTTTAAGACTTTTGACTGTAAATAAAAATGATTGACCAAATTTTTAAAAAAATTTCCGAACGCCTTTCTATTCAATTATTAACATCGGCAAACTAGGAAGTCCATCAACTTAAAAACATTGTTATTCAAAATGAATGCTCAATTGAGAAGTTCAGTTCAAGCATACAGATTTCAATAAAAGGGCTGTGCACAAAAATAGACTGAACCTCAACATTGACAGGATCTTTGTTAGGAGGGCATGAGGATTTTTTTTTTTTAAAGGGTATAAAAAACAATGATGGGGCAGGAAGGGGGGAGGGGGGGGGGAAACATCCAATAAAATGAAGTGACACAAAAAGTTAAAATATCAGTTAGTAAAAAGTATCAATCCCAAAAATGGGAGGGGGTTTGGGCAAAAAATATAAAGGGTATAAAAAACAATGATGGGGCAGGAAGGGGGGAGGGGGGGGGGAAACATCCAATAAAATGAAGTGACACAAAAAGTTAAAATATCAGTTAGTCAAAAGTATCAATCCCAAAAATGGGCGGAGGTTTGGGCAAAAAATGACATGGGGAAATCAGGGATGGTAAAAAAAACAAAGTTTATGCGTGCCAAGGACACATCACTTGTGCCAAGGACACATCACTCGCTATTGAAAAAGTTAAAGCTATTTTATTGTATGCCATTATTTCTCTTCATGTTCAGTCCAGTGAGGAAACAGTCGCCCGTGAACTAAAGCAAGAGGAGGTCAAAATGTCTTCGCCCGTCAAGCAAACAGTTGTAGAGGAGCAACCGCTTGCGCCCGTAGCTGCCTCCGTGGCTTCAGATTCTAACACTGTAGAGCAGCAACCCTCTTCGGTGACCATGACATCTGAAGAGTGTTCACGGGGTGCTCAGAAAAATGAACCGGAGGTGCTTGCTCAAAGCAGGTTTGTTTGGTTTTTTTTAGAGAGCATTAAAATGTTACAATTATTGGAAAAACAATATAACTGGTTAAATTTAATTGATTGAAATGATTAGGGTTGATTGAAGGAAGGAGAAAAAAAAGGACTTTTTTTTTTTTTTTTAAATCTATTTATTCATTGTTACATTAAAGCAAATAATGGACCTGATTCAGAAGGGTGTGTTAAAAATGTGTCAAATTTCAGCAATCCCGATGAGAAGAATGTGTCGGTAGTTGACAGTAAGAGCGAGGATAATTTCAAGCCAAACACCATTGTACCTCACAATACACCGGTAGCAGCAGACTCTGGCCAAGGATCCCCGACTTTGAAAGTAAGAGAGAATGTCCACATTGTCCTTGCATTTATAAGTAATACCGATCTCTTCATATCATTCAATAAACATTGATTTACGCAAATGTCAAAGAGATTTTTGTTAAACAAGAGCCAGTCTGAACATGCTTAACGGATTGTGTGGCTTTATGAAGGGAAAAAAAAAATTCCAATTGTTGTCAACAGAGCAGCACAGAAAGTCTTAGTGATGAGCCAACGGTAAAGGTGGAAGAAACAAGTTTGGAGCATCCAGCAGCTGCGGTTGTATCCTGTCCCAATAAAAACTCCAACTCTTCCAATAAAGCTGAATCCGAAATCAAACAAAACGGATCTACAACGGCTAAGCCGGCGAAGGAAGTGAAGAAGGAAGAAAAGAAAGAAGAAAAAAAGAAAAGCAAGAAGAAAGAAGACAAAAGCATTGGTAAGTCTGATATGAATCGGCAACGAAAAAAAGTAACAAGCATTTTCCTTCACCTCCCCCCCTCCCTCCCCCAACACCGCTGTTTTCTCCCCTATCTTCTCAGACACCAATAATATGTATAAAAAATATCATCGTTGTCAAAATGACAGTTTATTTATGATTAATCATTGAAAGCAATCTTAGGGATATTAAAAGCTGATAATAACATGACTACTTTTTTCAGTCTCACCCAGAACAAAGCGATTTACTTCTCCACAGTACCTCCACAACAGCTAGTGAGGTTAACGTGACTGTTACATATATTGCCACTTCACATTTTCAAGCACCACAGCACATTCCAATATTCCACTACGGCACATTCCAGTATGTCACCGTCTGCTCAAAATCTTCAGCTCACCCTCAACGCAAACCCCTCCTCATTGAATTCATTCTATATGGATGGCCCCACTCCAAGACAAGGTGGAAAAAAGAGATGGATAAAAAAAAAATTGTTACAATAATGAAACTATAAGTTATAAGAGTGTTTAAATTTACTTAACGTACATCAGCCTTTCGGTCCTTTCTCACTTTGCAGACTACATCTTGAGAGCACTGAACAGCCTCCAGAGTCCGGAGGAGAAGTTAGCAGCCTTATGTAAAAAATATGCAGATCTTCACGAGGAGCATCGTGTGCTGCAAACGTCATTTAAAACTCAGCAAAGAACCATGGCCATGGTGGGGAACATTTTTAACACCGTTCCAACTTAGTTTAGGAACTAAAATTGTAATTCCTTTCAAAACTGGTTATTTAATTTGAAATTGTGATTACGCATTAAGCACTTGTGAGCCTAAAAATACAAATTACACATTTTTTAATCATTAATTTTAAAAAAATAATTCAATTTCAAGTATGACCAACAATTTATTTAACTAAATACTTAAAAAATACAATAACAAATATAAAGATATGTGGGACAGTGTGTGGCAGGATATTATTCTACTAAAACACTAATGCCTGTAGACGTAAATCAATGGATGTCTGTCACAGCCTGTGGTGTTTTAGTAGAATACTGATAATTCAAGTATTATTTCCCCTCAAAGACACCTATACACTTAGCAAATTATAATCGTGATTGATAATTGTGTGATTAAGGATACTTTGAAATGTGGTCTTGTAGATAATGAGGGAGAAGGACCAGATCCAGTCGGAGCACACCAAGGCAATTATGGCCAAAAGCAAGCTAGAGTCCCTGTGTAGAGAGCTGCAGAAGCACAACAAAATTATCAAGGTAAATTTAATATCTTTTTTTTTTTATTACTTTGAGATGGCTCATTATAAGCTTTAGAATGATAACTGTATGTTAAGTAGGTTCAACTTGTAAAAGATGTCTGTATTAAGTTTTCTGTCAAAACTGAGATGGCTAAGCTTTTGTATCTATTATCTTGCCTTTTCCCCTGTCCAGTTAAGCTAAAATAATTAAATAATCAGTGCTTTTTTTAATATTTTTTTTTTGGTCACAGAATTCTGAAAAGTGGCCTTCAAATATCTAATTTTTTTTACAAAAATTCAAATTAAATTATGGGTATCTATAATATGTATTTTTTTTTAATTATCTAAACAAATGAAAGATCCAGCACCTTTCTTCTTACAGAATAAGCACTGTAACTAACAAACAAATAATAATGTATTGTAGCAAAAACATAATGTACTGTAGCTAACAAATAATGTACTGTAGCTAACAAATAATGTACTATGTCTTACAAATAATGTACTGTAACTAACAAATAATCTACTGCTGTCGGTAAATTTATGTTGTTAAAAATACAGATTTCTTCAGTTTTGTAGCCCACAATCATTTGTGTTAAATAAGACACACTGCAAATCACAGGGGCCATGGGAATTACTTTTATCCTGCTTTCAAGGGATAGCTTCTGTATAGTGTTATTATCATTCAATGCTTGTCTGTACATCCTCTCTCTGAACCCATGATTTATATTTTTTTAAAGGTGTCATAATCATCTTATTAGGTCCAATAACTGAACAGTGTAATTTTCTGTTATCATTTTTTCCTGCCCTCTCCAAGGATGAAAGCATCAAAAGAGCCAAAGAGGATGATGAGAAGAGAAAAGAAATCTCTGCCCAGTTTAATGTAAGATTATCTTGTCAGCAATGCAGAAGCTTAAAAAACAAATTTAAACATAACGCTCTAAATACATGAGGCAACTTATGTTTGTATTTAAATTGTACTGTCTCATATTTAATTTGATGATAATTGCCTCATTAGTTACTATCTTAAAATCTATTTTCGCTCCACGTCATCTTTCCAACCCATGACCAAAATATATATCGCTTGAGATCTAACCCGACCTCGGTCCATCCGCAGCACACTATCGGGGAGATCCAGTCCCAGATGACAGACAACAGCGAGAGGAACTCAAAGCTGAGGCAGGAGAATGAGAACCTTGCGGCTCAGCTGAGGACGTTTATCAAACAGTGTGAAGTGCGCGACCTGGTGAGTAAGGCGTCGCATCATTGACTGTGTCGCTTGTGTCCATGTGTACGTCCTCGGGTATTGGCTTAATTCTGGCGGAACGAATAGTAAAGCTAAGTGAATAGTGCTTAACGCTTGCAGCACCGATGGCCGTTAACACAGCCCCGATGGCATTTCAACACTTACAACACCGATGGCATTGAATTGGTGTGACCAATCATGAACTGGAAAAAACAGGACACACTCAGGGGTGGGGGATACCCTCCAGCTAAATAGGGGTCCGGAGGCCTCCGCTGGAAACTATTTATTGAAATATGCTCATTTGAACTATTTTGAGACCTAGAAATCTTTTGAAATTACCTTCACTTTTGTAATTTAATTTAAACCCTGAAGCGTGTAAACGAAAACAATAATTTTGAAGTGAATACTTATTTATTTATTCATATTTTAGAACACAATACAACACAAAAAATTAAATGTCTCTGGTCTAGGATTTAAATTTCAGATATTTGGCTGTTGAACCAGCCATTGTTAAAACCTCCTTCTTATCTAATATGTGAAAATGTGTTTGGTTTTAGAAATGGGACATTTAGGCATCCGAGAGACTTTTTCGGGACACCGGGTACGATCTTGAAAAAACTTGACAATCCTGTTTTTACGGGACGTTCGGAAACCCTATATTTAAACACTTACAGCACTGATGGCATTTCAACACTTAGAGCATTGATGGGTTCTTTTGGAACTGATGATAGCTTTTCTTTCATAACACATCTAACAATTGCTTAAAAAGTTATTTTTATGTACCTTGAAAAAATTTTTTATTTTTTTTTAACTTTGAGATGTTTTTGTAGAGATAGAAGAGAATTTCAGCATAAAGTGTTTATCCATTTAAAACTGTAGCGCAAAAATGTTAATAAAAATCCACTAACAACAGTATTTTTTATAATTTTCATTTTCTACTTGACCTTATTTATTAGCTACCAGATGTTCATAGGCCATTCTCAAATGATTAAAATTTTCTCTGCTCAGAGCTATTCTTTTCTCCTCATTCCAGTTATTGACATTTCTAGAATTCTTTTTGGGAAGGTCCCTTCTCCATGTGTTGTTGCTTTTTACCCACGCTACGTACAGCTGCTACAAGGCATGCCTTTAATTGTACTGAAGGGAACATCACCTGTTAAAGGTGTGATGGTATGCTCAACACAGGTGAGTGGTGAGACCTGCTGTGGACAGTATTCAGATTCAAATATTCTGTTTTTTTCCCCTCCCCCAGCAAGTGGAGAAGCTCCACGAGCAGCATGAGTTGGAGAAAAAATTGGCGGAGGTCAAGATGAACCAGGCCCAGGCCATCATCAAGGAACAGGAAGAGAAATCCAACAAAGAGAGGGAGTTGGTAGGTTGCAAAGCTTGCATCGTGTCACCAGTAGAGAGTAGAAAGACTAATACTAACATGAAAGTATGCCATTGCAGTGTTCTAGTCAATTTCAACATCACAATCTTGTCCCAGATGGGGGGAGGGGGGGGGGGGGTCTGTGGCCTGTGATTTAAGTATAAAAATATTTTTTATATACTCAAACTAAAATTTAATTTGTATTGGTTAATAGATTTCAACATTTCAACACTGGTGCGGAGCTTCACTAGAATTGAACAGTTTCATTATGCTGCTATTGTTGTTTTTTTTTTTAAATAGTTTGCTCTGCTTTGGGTACATCTCCATGTAAAGCAGGGGTCTCAAACTCGCGGCCTGCGGGCCATTTGTGGCCGCAAGATGATATTTTGCGGCCCGCGACATGACAGAAAATTTATTTTTAATGCGGTCCACGTGGTTTCCCCATTCTCATATCTATAATGGCCAAAGTGCCGTTTTGAGAAAACACGCTTCGAATATTATAAATACATATTTCAAAATTTTAAAAAGTCAGTTAGTGGGTAATGCACAACCATAATTGTGTAAATCGTAGCAATCTGACACAGTTTCAAAGAATCCCTAATAAAATTGCCGCTATTGTTTACGAGTGAGGGAAACTCCGAACCTGTCAGCTTGGTCATTTGTGCTGTCAGGTCTCTGGCAACAAGCAGTGGGAGGAAGAAAGTGAAGCCGAGTTCTTGAGAACCCTTGAAGTTTTTGTTATTACTAAAGGCTGAGAAGATTGTAACATTTTTACTTTATTGAATTTTTAATCGCTTTTTTGTGGAATACTTGATGCGGCCCAGTCTAACGCAGACTCTGCCTCCTGCGGCGCCCGGATAATTTGAGTTTGAGACCCCTGATGTAAAGTCAACACATGCAAACTCTTTGACTAGATGGACTAGTGACTGACAGAGTCAAACAGATGGTTGCGGGCAAAGCTAAAATGATGGTTGTGGGGAAAGCTAAACAGATGGTTGTGGGCAAAGCTAAACAGGTGGTTTTGGGCAAAACTAAACTGATTGTTGTGGGTAAAACTAAACAGGTGGTTGTAGGCAAAGCTAAACAGATGGTTGTGGGCAAAGCTAAACTGATGGTTACGGGCAAAACTAAACAGATGGTTTTGGGCAAAACTAAACAGATGGTTTTGGGCAAAACTAAACAGATGGTTTTGGGCAAAACTAAACAGATGGTTTTGGGCAAAGCTAAAGAGATGGTTGTGGGCAGGGCTGACAACAACAAAATCAATACACTGGCAACCACGAAGCAACCAAAACTTGAAAGGCGGTGTTTCACTGTCAAAGTTCAAGTACGAGTCATTTTTTTAACTAGCTGGTTTCTAGACTTTTAGCTTGAGTTTAAAATTGAGCCAAAAGTGTTTCACATGCCTGATGATGTTATACTTTGAACATTCTCTGCGCGACTTGGTCTATAGAGAGTTAACATTGATTGAAACTTAGGGAGCAATGTTTGTATTTTAAACATGTGTAAGTGGTCGTCTTCACTATTATTCCCAACTTTCCATTTTGCTCACAGATGTTGCTCAAGTTGGCTGAGTCAGGGAGGAAGAGTCAGATTCTTGAAGCACAGGTATACACACAAAAAAAAATTTGACATACCTAACAGATTAGACTTTGTCTGAACATCTTCTACCCCCTGCTGCACAATGTCTTAACATCTTTTGCCCATGCTACATAACATCTTAAACATCTTCTACCCCTGCTAGACAATGTCCTGACATCTTCTACCCCTGCTACACAATGTCTTGACATCTTCTACCCCTGCTCCACAATGTCCTGACATCTTCTATTCTACCCCTGCTAGACAATGTCATGACATTTTCTACCCCTGCTAGACAATGTCTTGACATCTTCTACCCCTGTTACACAATGTCGTGACATCTTCTCCCCCTGCTAGACAATGTCTTGACATCATCTACCCCTGCTAGACAATGTCTTGACATCTTCTACCCCTGTTACACAATGTCCTGACATCTTCTACCCCTGTTTAACTATGTTTTATCATCTCTGTTCCCTGCCTTGTCTTAAGACTCTTATTCACATTTTTTGTGTGCCTGTCTGAGAAATTGTTAAGAAAAGGTGTTGTTTATTCCAAAGGAAATTGCCTTGATATATTTCCATTCATTAAATATTCCAGGTGAGCATGTTCAAGGAACGCTATGATGAGTTTGAGCAGCTCCACACTAGAAGCAACGACACCTTCCAAAAATACAAGACTGAAATGGACAAGGTATCTTTCTTCTTCTTCCTCTATATTTTGAGGGCCCATGGTTAATGTATTGATCATTCTGGCTCCTATGTATGTAGAGGGGGGTTCGTAGGCCGGTAAGATAGTTTGGGACACAGTGATCAGATTAGAGGGCAAACAAAGACGATTCAGGTTTAACGTAAGGTTGCTTTTTTGTCAGAAGTGTATCAAAGGATAACGATTGGTGTTCACTGTGCCAGCGTTTTGTTTCAGATGACCAAGAGAATCAAGAAGTTGGAAAAAGATGGGCTCCAGTGGAAGAATAAATGGGAAGGAACCAACAAGGCTCTCATAGAGCAGATTGAGGCTGTAAGTCCCAAGTTTTGTATCCACTGCTTGTTATTTGGACTGTGCCGAGGGGTTAAACTAAAATAAAGTGCAAGAAACACTTGCTGGGGAGAAGTTTGTTGCAAAACTTAATCAGATTTAAATGGAGGAATAAATTATGGTAGTATTGGTAAAAGCTGCTGCAAACCATGATTATGGAATGGAACTTCGTGTTGACTTCTGTGTTGTTTTGAGTAATGTAATCGTGCTGTATTTTCATAACAGAGAGGCAAATCTGAGAAGGAGACTCTCACCTACATACAGAAGTCCAAGCAATTGGAATCTTTGTGTCGAGCCCTTCAGGCTGAGTTACGAGGCAACAAAGTAGCAGACGCTAGCACAAACAAAGCTGGTAAGTATTTGGGGGATCTGGTTGTTGGAGGATTTGAATGGAAAATCAAAATTTCTGTCTCATTTTAAACACTGGAGTATTACATTCATGTATTAATTATAGCAATGCCATGAAGTTCAATTTATGATAGTTTCATTGAATTTTATTCTTTAAAATTTTCTTTTAGAAATTTAAAATTTAAAATTTAATTAGAAAAATTGTGAATTTATCTCAATCTCTGTAGAAGCCTAACATATTTCTTCTTTAAAATGTTTTTGTTTTTTTTAATGGATGAAAAAATAAAAAAAATACATCCCATATATATACTCTAAAACTTTGTCAATGTTTTCAACAGAAAATTCTGTGGTATCATCCCCACCAAGTGCTTCTGTTGTAGCCAGCACAGAGAGCTCTACCAATGAAGCGTCACCCTCTACAGCTATTTCTCCTTCGCCACTGCCAAAGACCTCTGAACCCGTCGCCCCAGCATCGGCTCTGCCGAATGAAGCAACAACATCAATATCACCCTCACCAACATCTCAAGAGTCGCTGTCATCGTCCCTGCCCGAGACCCATCAACCCCCATCATCGGCAGAAGGGACTGCGGCTGTTTCGGACGTCCCCTCGGTTGTGCCTGCCACCGTCGCAGACGTCCCCTCGGTTGTGCCCGCCACCGTCTCAGATATCCCCTCTGTTGTGCCCGCCAGCACCCAGTCTCTAGATGGCGCTGGAGTCTCTGAGTCGTCCTCTGGTGTAACATCGAATCACGCCACAGTAGGCCTAGAAGCTGCAGCACAAGAAACAGTTGCAGCACAAGAAACAGTTGCAGCTCAAGAAACAGTTGAAGCGGTGTGAGGCATCTTGTCTGTGTCCTGTGCTTTCTTCTAGGAATGTCTGCCTGTTGCGTGAAGCTTGTAAAACCATTGCTGTCGTTATTCTCATGTTATGTTAGTGCACACATTAAGTTCTTTAACTGCTGAATTCTTTGGGGTTAAATTAATAAAGCGGCCATTGAAGATGGTGGCTTGTTTAACAATTGAAATTGATATAAATGAAAATACTGCAGTTATCTTAAATATTACCTATCCCTTGCCTTGATAGACTTTCATTTTTTAGACAAGATCTTCTCAACACTTTATACGTCCTTAGGACACCTGCAGGCATCTGCGTAACAGGGCAATGACAAGAATTCCTGAATAATCTCTCCTACATCTGCTGTGGAGATATAAAGTGTTAGTTTTTTTTTTAATGAAGGGAGAAGATTTTTAGCATTATGAAAGGGAGAAGATCTTCTTATTTACAAAGGGCTGAAATTATTTAATCAAATAGCATTATCTACATTAGTTTATATTTTACCTTGTGAGCACTTAAGATATTGTCTACAAAACCTCTGGGACAAATTTTCACCCCACGTTGCATGAAGGCTGTAGCCGACCACTAGGCCTTATAAACTGCAAGAGTTGAAAGGGCTAAGTAGATCATGATGGTTCTAATCTGATTAATTTTTCTGTATATGTTTAGAGGTCATAGTGCTATAACTAGCAAATAGCCCGTGACACCTTTTAACTTAAAAAAAAACTAGACTGAAGATGAAGTGAACAAAAGATAATAGTTCAAATTTTTGAAAATCATAATCAGGCTGCCTATGTAAAAAAAAAACCAAAAAAAACCAACCCAATGGCTTCACAAGGAAAAAAAAGTTTTGTAGAAGATGATCTCCCTTTCTTGCCAGGCAGCTGTTGATCAGATCAATGGACTTAAGTCATGTTCATGGATGACTGCAAACTTTGCTTCACAACCATCTCTTTTAATGAAATTATTTTTAGTGTGGTACTTTTGACAGAATGATAAAAACTTTTTTTTTTTTCCTAAAGCTTTTCATGTTATTTATTTGTGTGCATTCTATTTTCTCTAGCAGCAGACATCATTATATTTACACTTGAATCAAGGCTGTGGTGTACCAGGAGCAGATCTGATCAAAGCTTAGTGGGTTTTACATATTTTTATTTATTTATTTTTTTTTTTAAAAAGGAAGTTTAAAAAACATTACTTTCAGATTATTTTCATGCACAGTGCAAGTCCTACTTGTGCATTTTCACCTTTTGATACTTTTATGCACTTAAGTTAAGTGCATAGAATTAAGAAGTCTATTTAAATTTTAAGGCGCCCTAGGTGGTAAAATCAGTTCAGTTTGTACGGAGACGTATCAGCTTTTATACATAAACCACATACCTGCTTCAATATACTTCCTTGGTTGCGATGGCTTCTCGGAAATCATACCATTGTATTGTTTACACTGTGATGTTATGTTAATAAGGCCCATACCTTGGACGCTGGTACATTTTTAACTATTAGTTTTGTATCTAAATAATGTACATGTACATTTTTATTTTTGAGAACAGGTAAACTAAAAAAAAAAAGAAAAAGGTTTTAACCTTTTATTTCAAAGCTGTTTATTTAAAAAGAAGGGTGTTAAAATTTGAAATAAAACGGTATCCCAGTTGTATGTGATTGATAATGGCCACCACGAATCTGTTCCATTGTTTTCTGTTTCATGTCAGTAGGGTAGACAGACTGGTGACAGGACACTGAGTACATGGCGTTTGAAATAGGAATGATGATGTGACATGGCTTAGCTTACAGTAGTTGTTTTGTGACGTCGTCGGCATATCTTTCAGTGAGTTGTTGATCCTGAGTGTTGGCAATATACTTTTGAAAAACATATCTTTCAGTGGCAGATTTTGAGCATAACTAGTCTAGCATTTAACGCCATGACAACATTATGCATGCAGCAAGCCATGGTGCTATCCACATACATGACATGGCATTCATGACCCAGGTCAGCTGGCATGGACGCACATGTGACACACTGTAAATTGTGCTTTCTGACTTGCTGTGACACATTGTTGACATCATGCCAGATGGGCTACTGGCCTATCCTGCCGGGCTATTGGCCTATCCTGCCAGGCTATTGGCCTATCCTGCCAGGCTATTGGCCTATCCTGCCGGGCTATTGGCCTATCCTGCCGTGGCATTAAACTAGGAAATAATGGTGAGACATTTGTGCTTTAATGGTGATTTAGTATTAAACTAGATTTGAGCTTTGAGGGCCTTGAATCAAGTACCAACTTCTCTCTCATCTTGTAAAGTAGTATTATACTAGTATAAACTAATGACTTGTTCATATTTTAAAATAAAATACAAAAACGTGCTCTTCTCTTTTCCCAACAATAAAAACTCATTTTTATATTTTGTATACTGCCTTTGTTGTTAAAGTGGATTTATTTGGTATCATTTACACACACACACACACACACCCTTTGTTCAAACAGGGCAAACCAATTAATTTTTATATCTTAAAATAAAAAAAACTTCACATGACGTTATTATTGTCTTTAAATGTAAACACACATACAAACAAAAAGCAAAACAGGCTCCTCTTTCCCCCCCCCCTTCCCCCCTCCCCCTCCTCTCATGCTCAGATTGTCCTCAATGCCTTTTAAAGCGCCCCATACAACGCAGGGTACTTATCATGAACACTTTAAAAATTAAAATGCAAGGTAAACAAAAAAATGAAATTGTTAGCCCATAGAGGCTGAAGATACAATATTTTAAAATCATACTAAAATAAATCGGATGAATCACTTTAGTTAGCCCAAACATTGTTGCACTACTGTTGCAGAAGTAGTTTATTTATTATCTTTGACATTTTCCTCATAAAAGTCAGATCATATCTCCTGATTTAAATAAAAAATAATGGCTCTGGGAAAATATATATACCTCACTAATAGTAAATAACTTTGGATTATTACAAGATTTTTTGAAGCAATAGTTTAAATTTAAACACTGGCATCATTATGTTTCGCATTGAGACGTCTGATGGAAGGGGAGTTATTCACGGTGGCTTTGGAAGAAAATATAATCATGTTTAGATTAGCTCCCTTGTACTGAAAAAAAAGAAGAAAAAAAGGGGAGGGGGGGGGGTAATAATTTTAAATAAGTGATTTTTTTTTCCCAACGGTTATTTTGAATTTGTGCTTGACAACAAAAAATAACTTATTCCATTTCTATTTGAATCGGGGGTGTGCCTATAAAAGTTGGTGTCGACCGGTGCGGTAACTCNCCAACCCCCCCCCCCCCGGACTGTCCTGGACCCAAAAAGTAATGCTACAGAGCTGGCACTGTACGTGTTGCACTTTATATTTGACCTGTTATTATTTTATGGCTTGAGTTTATTTTTATGTTTTGACCACACATAATTTTTGTTTTTTGTTAAACTATATGTATTCTTTATGCTTCGTTCCCCCTCCTTCACATATATATATATATGGACACAATTTATACACGAGTTAAAGATGTTTAAAAAGACATTTTTTACAAGTCGAAGAATAAACTAGTTCTTTGAGCTGAAAGGCTTCACTTTGTTAACATTGAAAGATGGCCGCATTGTTGAACTAGCTGTGCACCAACACGTTAACAAGGTACGTTACTACCACAACGGAGCGACAACTCTATGACATACATTTCCATTCAAATCCGTGGCACGCATCGCCGTGTGTATCCACTATATATGTTTGCCTGACTAACAAACACACATGCATGCGTACGCATACAAGAGAAGCCTGTTCTCAAACTTTGAGCTCGTGCCCAGTGATTTACGCTTTCGGAATTTTTCGTTTGCTTCTTTCTGTTGAAATGCCACTTGTGCCCCATGAGATGACGTCACGCAGCGATTGTAAACCATTGCGGATAAAGTTAATTTAAAAATGTTGTCACAGAGATTTTATTCAATCATATTTTTTATGAGAGAGAGAGAGACAGAGAGAGCGAGCGAGAGAGAGAGAGAGAGAAAGAAAGAAAGAAAGAAAGAAAGAAAGAAAGAAAAGAAAGAAAGAAAGAGAGAAAGGAAAGAAAGAAAGTGAGAAAGGAAAGAAAGAAAGAAAGAAAAGAAAGAAAGAAAGGAAAGAAAGAAAGGAAAGAAAGAAAGAAAGAAAGAAAGAAAGAAAGAAAGAAAGAAAGAAAAGAAAGAAAGAAAAGAAAGTAAAGAAAGAAAAGAACGAAAGAAAGAAAGAAAGAAAGAAAGAAAGAAAGAAAAAAGAAAGAAAAGCAAGAAAGAAAGAAAGAAAGAAAAGAAAGAAAGAAAAGAAAGTAAAGAAAGAAAGAAAAGAAAGAAAGAAAGAAAGAAAGAAAGAAAGAAAAGAAAGAAAGAAAGGAAAGAAAGGAAAGAAAGGAAAGAAAGAAAGAGAGGGAAGAAAGAAAGAAAGGAAGGAAAAAAAAGAAAGAAAGAAAGAAAAGGAAAGAAAGAAAGAAAGGAAAGACAGAAAGAAAGAAAGAAAGAAAGAAAGAAAGAAAGAAAGAAAGAAAGAAAGAAAGAAAGAAAGAAAGAAAGAAAGAAAGAAAGAAAGAAAGAAAGAAAGAAAGAAAGAAAAGACAGAAAGAAAGAAAAATAACAATAAGCATTCCAAACTCTCATAATACGTGAAATAGTTAACTAAAAATTTATGCAAAATAAGTAAATGAGATTTTTTAAAATGATTTTTGCAAATGTAAAAAGCAAATTTCATAAAAATGTCCGTTCCCTTTATGAGTTGCTGTGCTTTGAGTAGGAACAGCAAACCAAATCTCAGCTCCACTGGGAGAAGGGAATAAGTGGTGGTTGCCTGTCATTGGGGAAAGGGAACTTTAACTATAAGAATGCTTGCAAACTAATCAATAGATTCCATCTTCACCATTTTTCTAGGTCAGGGGTCGGTAGCCATTTGAGTGAGAAGTCATTTTAAAAAAATTTTTTAAAAAATACATAAATAAAACATCCTTCAAAAATAGTTTGGGAGCCGCATGTTAAATTAGTAAAAAAAAAAATCAATAATTTTTAAAGCCACGTTAATTCGTTCTTAGTACCGCATGGTGTTCCAGAACTGTGGGTTACCGGGAACTTGTCTAGGCGATTTCACCGGCCAGCCACGCCCCTGCTCTGAAGAATGTTTGAAAGTTGGTTGAAATCGAACACAAATAGTTTTGAGCCAAAAACAGCTTAAAATAAATGTATACAAATTTATTTAAAGAAAGTTCACTGATAGGTTGTATTGAACACAACATGTGCACTTCTCTACTTCAAGCTGAGCAAGGAGTCAATCTTTTAAAAACAAGAAAAACTGGGAACGCAATGTGTAAATCGATATTTAAACGACCAACTTAATATTATTTCTTAGAGTACATTTTATAGAGAGAGATTCATTGAAGGCATTATGAGACTATTGATGGGAAGATGAAGAACAATAACGAAATCTAAAATACATACCTGTAACTTTTTACAAATACATAATAATATAATACTCGGGGAGGGGGAGAGGGTTAAGAGGGGGGGGGGGTCAATCAATTTCTCATTCAACATTCAAATCTATTAAATTTATTTATCATTTTAACTAGAGCAGCGGTTTCTCCACATTGTATGGGACACCTGACCACCTCAAAAAGTTTGACTTCTCTTCCTATTCTATTTGTTGTGTTAGTATGTGAGGAAGAGCTCACAAATATTTATTTTTTTACCGCTGCCCTAAGAAAAATTTTTCTTTCAACTATAACAGCCTGTGACGGGCTCGAGTTTCAGCTTCGTATGATAAAAATCACAACCAGTGAAACATATTTACAAAGTATATTGTACATAATTGATTGCCGATATGTATGTATATATATACAGGCATGGGCGCCCGCAGAAAACTTTCTGGGGGGGGGGGGGGAATCGATTAACTTTGGGGGGGGGGGGGGCAAATTTTTTNTTAGTTACTTTCTCTTTGTTTTCTCTTTTCTTTAATACATTTTTTGTCTATTTTTGTCTAACATTTTTTTATCCAATCAACCCGGGGGGGGGGGAAGTGCCCCCCATGCCCCCCCCCTGCAGGCGCCCATATATACAGGTTCTCATTTTACGACAGGGTTTCGTTTTTTCAAATCAAATGTAATTTTCTAGACCATCTACTTACCCAAATATACGCCTTTATAAGTATATGTAGTAATAAATAAATAAACAAATAAATAAATAAATATAAATATATATATATGTCCATATATACATCAAATTTAAGATATTAAAACATGTTTAAGCTATCATCTTCGCCACCACTCCGTTTCTCAGATCTTCGTAGATGGTAGGCACCTTTTTCAAAATAGGACTTCAGCTCATCGGTATGTGACTGTGGGTTTGATCTCCCATCAAGATTGTCAGCAGTCTCACCATCTCTTTAACAAAGGGGAGTAGACCAGTCTCACCATCGTTGTTGCAAAAGGGACTACAACAGGCTCACCATCTCTGTTAAAAAAAGGACTATGCCCTTAATAATAATTTATCCTGTAAAGGGGGGGGGGGTTAATTCTTGTTTAAAAATGCGTGCTTTGTAGTGTACGGTAAAAATATTTAATATTACGCAAGATAAATAGTGTCACGTCTCTAAACACTTCAATAGAAACGACCACAGCCGGGTGTATTTTGGAAAACAAGCTTATCCTGACCTATGGAACCTTGACACCAGATGGTATGAACGTCATGTCTTCATTCATAGGTTGAGCCTGTGCCCAATCACGACCAATCACAGTGGACTGACTTCTCTTTTCTTTCCGATTTGCCTGTAATTAAATCTCTCATCTACTTATTTTCTGTCACAATTCTAATTCTACCCTCTCGGATACTACTTCTCAGCCAAGTGCTGTTTTTTTTTTTAAATTTATTTTTATTCTGTTTTTTTTTCTGTTGTTTGCTCACTGACGAAGGCTTTCTGCCGACACGTTCGTTGTTTTGTTGCGTTCCTTTTCTTTCCGGTTTGACCACACTTTGTTTAACTCATTTCCTACTTTGTCGTGTACGATGTCGGATACGGTCGTGCAACTAAAACCATCAAGTGCACGCGCGATGAACGCTGGTCTGTCTCCTCTCTCACTTGGTCAAATCATTTCCAACGTACACTCTGTTATCGTGATGCTTTTCAACGCTCGGTTACGTCATCACAATGAAGTCTGGTCGCGTGGTCGCATCGTCGGTGTGCCATTCCGCGAGCTAGAATACTAACTTTTATGATAAAATGAGACTTACTGAAAAAAACAAAACAGTTTATTTAATAACTAAATTGTTTTAATAATTTTTCTTCCGCCATAATCATCAAATATGCCATAAAATGAACCGCTGTAAAAATGAGGACCTACTCCTATATATGTATATTTGTTTATTACGGTCAGGAGGCCTATCCCTGACTTGGTCTAT